ATCGACTGGGCAGCCGAAACCCTCATCCTCTCTTGAACGGAAAGAGTAACCAAGTTGAAGAAGAAGTCGACAAAGAAAGGAAGAAGAACGATCTTCCACTTCTATTCTGACAAAAACCCATCGACCGAACCTGGAAGCAATCCAAACTCAGGAAAGCACCAGCTATCGAAACCCCCGTCGTTTATCCGAAAGCGACTATTGAAGAAATCATTGACGAAGAAGCACCATTCACCCTTCCCACCATTGACTCACTCCCCAATCTACTCCCCATCCCTGACGAAGACGATGAAACTTTTGATACCAAGGAAGACGTCTGGACACAAGAGAACTTTGCCGCACCAGTGCGAGAAGTCTCTATGTACGATCTAGAAGATGACAAATTCCTGGTAGAATATTCCCTCGATGCATCTGAACTCCGGGTAATTTCAAATACTACCATGGATACACCGTTAACCTCGGATGGAACCAGTCGTTCGGAACAGAAACCCACAGTCAAACCCCTGCCACGGCCTACAGAATATGCGAAAGTTAGTAACAAAGCCCAGCAGTTCGCTCTAGCTGCGGGCTTAGAACAGAAGAAGAAAACTTTCGAAGAACTCGTACCCTCCTATCTCCACGATTTCGCTGATATCTTCGCTAAAGACGGTCTCAATCAACTACCCCCTGAACGACCCGGTATTGACCACCGTATTGAAACGAAACCCGGATTCATCCCCAAAATGTCGAAAATCTATCCCCTCTCTATCGCAGAATGAACCGCTGTCAAAACATTCATTGATGAAAACGTGAAGAAAGGTTTTATCTCAGAATCTAAGTCGCCGCAAGCCAGCAGTTTCTTCTTTGTAGGAAAGAAAAGCGGAGATCTCCGACCCTGCCAAGATTATCGGTATATCAACGATTGGACGATCAAGAACGCTTATCCCTTGCCGCTTCCCTTATCCCTTGTCGCACGGTTACATGGAGCAAAGTATTTCACCAAGATGGATGTCCGATCCGGTTATAACAACATCCGCATTCACCCTGATGATAGATGGAAAGCTGCGTTCACTACGGAATTCGGACTCTATGAGCCGAACATCATGTTTTTCGGACTTTGCAACTCCCCGGCCACGTTCCAAGCCTACATGAACCGCACGTTCCAACAAGAAATTAATGAAGGATGGCTGGTGATCTATATGGACAATATCCTCATCTTTTCGGACAACCTTGATGAACATCACGCTCGTACCCGTCGTATTCTTACGAAAATTCATGAAGAACGACTCTTCTTGAAACCAGAGAAATGTACCTTTGATGCGCAGGAGGTCGAATATCTCAGTATGATTATTCGTCCAGGATGCGTCACCATGGACGCTGCCAAGACCGATGGAATCCGTGATTGGCCAATCCCATCTACTGTTAAAGAAACCAGATCATTCCTTGGATTCTGTAACTTCTACCGAAACTTTATCCCTCATTATTCCGATATCGCACGACCCCTTATCGATCTGACAAAGAAAGACAACATCTTCCTTTGGTCCACACCATGTCAAGAAGCATTCACGACACTCAAGGAGTGTTTCCTAAAACAACCTGTCCTCCGTAATCCCGATCCATCTCGACAGTTCACAGTAGCCACCGATGCATCCCTTGTTGCAACAGGTGCTGTCTTACTACAGACCGATGAAAACGGCGTATATCATCCATGCGGATACCTCTCCCAATCCTTGAACCCCGCTGAACGCAATTATCAGATCTTCGATCGGGAACTCCTTGCCATTATCCGCGCACTCCAAGAATGGCGTCATTATTTGGAAGGACACCCTCATCCGGTTATTGTTTTCACCGATCATAAGAATCTCCTCTATTTCCGTACCGCGCAGAAGTTAACCTGTCGCCAAGCTAGATGGCAACTCCTTCTTTCATGTTAAGATATTGAACTCCACCACGTACCAGGAACCAAGCTTGCTGCACCTGATGCCTTATCGCGACGTCCTGATCATGCACCGGACACAATTGATAACGAAGATATGACACTCCTCCCCGATTCCATGTTCGTTCGCCTCCTCGACCAAGAACTCATGACCACTCTTGCAAATCCTGATCCTGATGACACTGATCCCATCTTCCAAGCCGCCTCTGATGCCTTAAATGGTCTTTGTCTTCCTCCTATGAAATCGGCTCTCTCCGACTGGACGATTAAGGATGATGTCTTATTCTACAAAGACTGTGCCTACGTCCGACCGGCAGGATGCCATTCTATTTTAGAACGAACCCATGACCACGCCACAGCAGGGCATCCCGGTCGTTTTAAAACCGAAGAACTGGTTAAACGTGATTTCTGGTGGCGTCCATGGGAACTTATATCCGCAAATACGTTGAGGGTTGCGCCCTTTGTCAGCAAATGAAGTCTGATACCCATCCTACGACCCCTCCGTTGGTTCCTATTCCCTCTTCAGTCTCCACTCCATTCTCCCAAGTCTCCGTCGACCTCATCACTGATCTCCCACCTTGCAATGGCTTCGACTCTATCATGGTCTTACGAAGGGGGTAATTCTCATCCCTTGTACGAAAACTATCACCTCAGAAGGCATAGCAAAGAAATTCTTCAAATACATCTACCGCCGCTTCGGACTCCATGAGAAGATAATCTCAGATCGAGGTCCACAATTCGTATCCAAATTCTCTAAAGCCCTTGCGAAACTTTTGAAATACGACATCACCGCCTCCACCGCTTATCATCCGCAAATGGACGGTCAAACCGAATGTTTGAATCAAGAACTAGAAACCTATCTCCGAATCTATTGCCACAACAACCCAGAAGAATGGGTTGAACATATCCCCATGTCTGAATTCGTCCACAACCATCGCAAACACGACTCTCGCAACGCGTCCCCATTCTTCCTTATGATGGGATACGAGCCACGGGCTCTCCCCCACGTACTCCCAGATTCTACTGTCCCCGCCGCAGAAGAACGACTTCGCCTCCTTCAAAAGATACGTGAAGAAGCTATCTCTTGTCATAATCTCACAATGCAGCGAATGGCTGCACGATCATACGGAAAGAAGTATCAACCATGGAAGATCGGCGACAAGGTTTGGTTATCAGGAAAGAACCTTATCACGCAGCTACCATCACGAAAACTCGCTCCAAAACGATACAGTCCCTTTACCATCACTGCAGTGTTATCGCCAATCACATTCACACTCCAGTTACCCAAGCAATGGAAGGTTCACCCCACATTCCATGCTTCCGAACTATCATCCTATCACGAAACTGAAATCCACGGTCCTAACTTCCCTGATCCTCCACCTGATATCATCGATAACGAAGAAGAATACGAAGTCGAAGCAATCTTATCGCATAAAGGCACGGGTAAACAAAGACGCTATCTCGTATCCTGGAAAGGATATTCATCCGCCAGTAACGAATGGATTCCCACGGAAAACCTCGGCAATGCCTCCACAATCCTCGCTGCTTATAAGAAAGCTCACCAGTTATAAAAGTCGTTGCGAAAAGATGTCTTTCTCAGAACTCCGCACTCTCCAAATCTGCCTCTTGCAACTTCAAACTCTCGTCAGAACCATTGATAATATGTCCGAAAGTCTCGCCACCTCTCCATCCACAACATCCGCTACGTTGACCGAAACCATCGAATCCCCAAACTACTTTACCATCCTTGACGACATCGAAACCAATACCCTATTCGAATCCGCTCTCCTTTCTGAACAATACGCTATCGAGATAGATCGTCTCCTTGCTGAACAAGGAGCCCTCTCTAGCATGCTTCTCATCAACATCATTCGTGCCGCCAACCTTGTCAAACGAACCGCAGGCCTTCTTGGTGAAAATGACCAACGCCTTGAAACCATTTTCCGTCATCTCCATATTCGTATTCGCAACACTGCGATACGCCTCATGCCTACCTCTACCAAGGAAGTTGTTAGAGAAGCCATCCATATCGTTACCGAACAAATTGCAACAAGCCCAATCGCTAGACCCCCGTCCCCACATGTCGCAATTCCTATCCCACCTCCGGTCGAGATATCATCTCCTGTTGAGCATACACCTAATGTTATCGCTCCTCCTGCTGTACCGATCATACCGCCTGCTTTCACATCGGCCCCGGCGGCAACAACCCCTCGTATACGTCCTACCCGTCGACGACCCTTTAAGCGAGAGATCTCCGTCTCCCCCCCTTCTCACAACTGCACTCTACCTTCCAAGACACCATCCCCGCCTCCGCAATCATCCTCCATCACTATCGTGAAAACCGAACCCCTTGATAACTTTAAATCTCACAACTGTGACGAAATCGGTCATCGTCACAAGAACTGCCCTACGTACTTCTGCCACGTATGTTGTAATCTCGCGCCAGGGCATCTTTTGGTCTTTTGTAAAGACCTTAAAGGAGAGAAACCTATCCCATTAGTATGGACGGACGCAGGTTTCTATGAGGCTCTCTCTAGATGGGAGGCTGACAAGGACGCTGCCATGGAACAGATCTCAATCGAAGAAGATGAGAGAATGTTCGTTCAATGCGCAGGTGATCGTGATAACTATGACGCTTACGATAACTTTGATTGTTGAAATCGGTGACTTCAACGATAACAACGGGGTAATGTTACAGTCAAGTACGCCCCTATTCATTTTCTTTCTCTTACATCATTGTATTACATCACGATCGCATCTTGCCGTCGCTAGATGATCTATTCTTGTTATCTCTGACTCGTCTTATCTCTGACTCATCTCTGACTCGTCTTATCTCTGACTCATCGTACCGGCCCTAAAGTCGTTACCGTTCACTATATAAACTCGTTCTGTACTATGTAGTTCTTTACTTTAATCTTGCTAGGTCTTACCTGGAACTTCCTTCGCTTAAGACCTCCAATCTTAAGTCGTATTAAACTTGATTCAAGTCGAGGACACTCTCCTTGTCTTGTCTTAGAACATTGAACTTCAGTATATGCTGAAGCCTTGAACCGACCTTGGCCGATTACTCTTATCGAGTAGCCATACGTCAGAACCATCCTAGTTCGTAACATTCAGCCCACTGAGCTTGTAGGTCCTCTACAGATGTTTCAGAACGGTTGATAAGGTCAAGTGCCGCAGAACCCTGGTCCTTGACGCCCCACTTGAGACGGCATTTGATCCAGTCCCCCAGGTCTGCTTTCATTTCCGATCCTATCGCAGTTGCTTGACGATAAATTAACCAGATACGGCGCTGACGCTAGATGAACTAAAGCAATTAGTGCATGCTAGTAGGATACAAATTACAACACAAAATAATGTACTGATGACGACCTTTCAACACCTATCAAGCGAACAAACCGCGACCACAGCCGCTCAGTCCCCTCACCATCAGATAACCCTAGCCCGATGCCGATGCACATCCGGGGATTGTACACCAGCTGACAGGCCCATTTGTGACCGTAGGCATGCATGGCCGTGGTCACGAAGCGCAGGCGTAATAAGATATCCTGGGGGATGATCTCAAACTGGAAATGATTAGAAAATGAATGTAATTGAGATCATGTACATACCTTTGAAAGGGTCCGCGCAAGAACGCATCCAACGTCATAGAGAGTCACAACTGTGGCTTGAGGAGGGAGCAATGTGAACAAATGTTCAATCAGCGCAATGGAATATTTCTGTTGCTCGCCAGGGGAATCAATATTAGCAAAAAAAAGTGGGATATCATGACAACAGATAAGGGCCATTAATCCTGTGTCATCGAAGCTATCCATCGCGGCTTTTTGCTTCTTCCCATCGGCAGCCTCATATGCATTCTCACATAAGTCGATAGCTTCGTCAGGGACAAGGGGTGTGTGTACCTTCCCAGGTTGCTTACATCGTGAGTCAATTCAGTGCCCAACCGCGTCAATGAACTGTTTAGGAAGGAAGTAAGTTGGCTCATAAAAGCGAGGACAGTCGCCCGCAGATCGTCGGTGGTGATGATGGAAATTACCGTCTGTAGCAACATGTATGTCGCCACCTTGGTCAATGGGTCTTCCAAACAGCATGCCACCAAACATGCTGGACATCGCTGCATGAGGAGTGATGCACATTGGCCATGGTGTAGGCCAATTGCAGCTGAATGGTCCGCATCTGTTAAGGCGAGTGGTTGGGGTGATTGATTGATGACCTGCCACACGGTCTCGACTTTGTTGGAGAACTGCATCAACCTGGCGCTCAATTTCGACCTGCAGGACATCGTACCACTGTACGACATAACCTAAGCCACGACGGAAGGGTTCCTGCACAATGTCACCCTTTAATCTACTTTAGTAACATTAATCAACACATACATATGACTTACCCGTGAGTCGGTGACTTGAAACCCTCAGCGTGAATAGTGAGTTTTGAGTGCAGATGCGAGAGCATTGATGGCATCACAAGAGCGCTCAAACAATGCGCGATAAAACAACAATAGATTGACGGAGACTGCCATACGAGGTTGTGAAGGTGCAGTAGGAAATAGCCCATGATGGAGAAGGACCTGCGGAAGGCTTGAACATTCGCAACTTAGTACATCAATTGATACAAATCCTGTTGACGTATTTCACACTCATTAGACCATGCAATAGGCCAAAAGTGTCAGTACTTACTATCGAAGAATAGACACAATATATTGGTCTTTCTCTGAGCGCATGAGAGAGTGCCACACGCAGAGATAACATTATGAGTTGTCTCCAGGGCTCGGCCAAGAGTTCACACATAATACTTGAGTTGCAGGTCCACGAGGGTCGGTATGAGCTTTTGCCAGTTAGCATATAATGTATCCACCGATTTATTTGGAAGAGTGCGCCACTTGGATCGACTGGTCTCCAGGTCTGCGGGCCTATCAGAAGATACTTCGTGTGCCATCTCAACTTCAGCACCTGCAAAATTGAAGTCGTTATTGTCTGCTTCACCAAAGGGACTCTCCAGTGTGGTACCAAGAGAACGGCCTGCTCTGGAGGACATAGGATCCATGAGTTGTTGCATTTGAGAAAGTAGACGATGACGATGGAGCTCAGCGCCAGGCAGCTCGACGAGGACTTGGGTCTTCCTCTTATCCCTGGCTTTCCTGGGACTCACGAAGTGTTGCCCAAGGCCAGAGGATATGATTCAAGCTTTGCGAGTATTGCGGGAGTTAGTTAGAGTCATGGCGATAATGATGGGACAACCTGCATGCACACAATGACTGCAGGAAAATTTGTAGTTAGTACTTGGTTTGATATAAGCGGATACCTACAAAGGACGCCTCCTCTGCCTACAAAGCAACCCTACGAGACCTTCCTGCATACCGAGGGAGCCTACCAACTGACTGACAGAACCTACAGAGCCTACAAAAGAGAGTGCCAGAGGCACTGTAGGTACGTGGGAGGTGCAAGGAGCTAAAATTACATGTAGGCTATTTTTAGATGGAGGGAGGTTGGGTCTTGCATATAGGTTTCCCACAACATAGTAACCGGGTCTGTAAGACCCTTTATACTATTATGGTACACGCAATCAGCAGCCTCCAGAAGTCGGCACTTTCACAAAACTCGTGTTTCCAGCTACCTAAACACAAAATTCTTTACATAGACACCATTCTCTCTCTAACACAACTCAATACGAGGTCAAACGAATACATTTGGAGCAGAATTGAATGAGATAGCTGAAAGTGCCGAAATCACGCAGAAATGTCACCTGCCGATATATGCCGTGACGGAGTTTCAATACTGCACACACCAGTGCCAACTGGTGCTGTGCTGCTGGTCATGGGGCTAGAGCAGCGTGAAAAGGATAAGGCCGACGCGGAGAAGCAGGCCAAAAAGAAGACAGAAGATGAAGCGCGCCACACTCAGATCGAACGCGATATCGAGTCGAAGATGTTTGATGCACTCTCAACACTCCGGCGCAAGGATTATTTTATTGCACTTGCTGGCGCTCTCAAGATTTCAAGAGACAGAATGGTTGAGGAACTCAGGACTAGAATCAAAGAGTTTCTTGCTGATGCCGCAAATCAGCACTTTGCCGACAATCCACGTTTTGCTGCGCTCTTCCAGACGGGAAAAACGCGTTCGAAGAATAAGAATTTAGCCACTGCGTCATCGACAGGACAGGCTAGTAGTGGCACCTCGCAAGACAATGACGCTACCTCATCCAACACCTTCGGTACTCATTTTTTCACCCCACCTACCAGTGCACATTCTTTTAATCCATATTATCCTCCACACTTTACTAACCAGCCATATTTTCATCAATTCTATGCTAATCCAGCTCTCCACGCACCATCTTACTCTACAATGCAACATAATAATTCATCCGGCGGGTCCCATTGCATCATCATCAAACTTAGACAGACAACCTTACAACACACACAGTCTCCCTACACATCCCCCTCAATTCTACAACTACGGCACTAATCATGGTCACCCTCGTACTTAGATTCTACTAGTATATACTGTACTTGCTTGCTCACGCCGAATACTAACTCACTTCCTTGCGCTCCTGCTTGACTGCCGAGCTGACTTTGAAACTGGCTCAGTGACATGTCGTGACTTACTGTGACATTTGCGTGACTGCCGACTTCTGGGGGCTACCGATTGCGCGTACCATAATAGTAGGTACCGAAAAGTGTTGCCTGAGGTGATCTCAACTGGAATTGAAACGTCATGTTCAAGCTACAACGTTACAAGCCAGACAAGTCAATTCATTTACTGTGCATGACGGGGTGGAACGCCCAGATGATTTAAGCAGCAAGGAGGTGTCTGTTGTTGGGGGTAGTGCTGTCGTAAGGACCGCAACAAGGGTGACATTAAGTATAATTGCGGTGATCGGGTGCGGGATTCGCTGGCCCATGAGGCCTTGCAGCAGGCCCATCAGTCGGTGATTGACTCTATACATATCGCAGATTCAATGGAACAGAACGGGGACCTATAGCGTGGCTAGTGTGACTTTTGATTCACTAGAATTCTGTGGCAATGCCAATTAATCATTCATATTTGCAAAACGAGGCATTTTTTCTGCATGTCACTATGCGGTATAAGTGCAACCCTGCCTCAACCTGCCTCCTTAAAAGAGCACGACGCATGAATCTACTAACCTAGATGATTCTGCCCTTCCTATCCCACTGTAGGTTTTGGTTAGAGAAGGTCGGGAGCAAGTTGTTGTGGTGGAGAAGCCGCCCGTCTGTCATACTAGTAGCTACCACCGGTGGTAGTGAGATAGACCCCGACAACCGGCAAGTCCATAATCATAGCACCCTGTGAGAACAACTGCCTCATGCGACTTCTAATGCAGCCTACCTGACCTTACAGGATTCGTATCCAAGGAGTCGCCTCATCCAATAGCGCACGGTAGTTTCGGGGATGTGTGGAAATGCACCTACATCGCATCCAATCGTCGAGGCCTGGAGGCAAGCATGCTACACGTATGGCTGTCCAGCAATCTGAATCCATGACAGGTAGCAGTCAAATCCATCAGGATCGATGTCGCAGGCGACGATTCCAGGGCCAGACTTACTCAAGTACGTTCTTGGCTTCCCCTTTGCATGTGATACGCTTGCTCAAACTATGGCTTCGCAGAGACTCCTGGACGATTTCCATGCACGGAAGCAATTGCATCACGAAAATCTTTTGCCTCTGCTCGGCTTCAGTCACGAATTTGGGCTACTTCCAGCGATGGTTTCCCCCTGGATACACAACGGCTCGCTCACCACATATCTTGAACACAATTTCACAGAATTGACCATCGAACAAAAGCTCCGGATCGTGAGTTGTTTCTCAGAAGCGCTCGTACATCTTATTCATTAGAATCTTAGTTGCGGCAAGTCGCTGCAGCCATCAGCTACCGTATGTGGAATCTTCAATAGTTTGTGAAAACAACAAGTGACGTCATTGCAGTCCACTCTAAGGGCGTTGTTCACGGCGACCTTACTGCCGTACGTACTGGTTGTTTAATGCCCCGCCTTTCAGATCTGATCTGGAACGGCAGAATAACATTCTGATAGATTCGGATCACAATGCCCACGTAGCAGACCATGGAATCCTCACAATGTGTTCTGAGCTCTCAGGGACTTCATACATCCGAAGCAACGTGCGGTGGGCTGCGCCAGAGCTCTTCGAGGTGCCCGAGAACGAAGAGTCATCGACTCCTCCACAGCCAGCCAGCGATATTTATTCCTTCGGATGCATCATGCTTCAGGTTCGAGGCGTTCCATAGTAGTTGCGTTGGTTTGCGACTAAGATCCCGTAGGTTATGACAGGTCGACCACCCTATGCAGATGTGCGAAGCGATCATCAAGTTACTGTCCTGATACTCAAGGGTAAGAAGCCTACAAGACCTTCGAGTCCGCACGATACAGATTATTTCTGGAATTTCATCGAGAAATGCTGGAGTGATACAGGACGTCGTCCCTCTGCCGTTGATGTTCTGAGCTTTCTAGGATCAGACCATGCCACTGCGCTAGTTAAACCATCAGAGAGCTGATCGGCTTTATTTTATTTACGTTAATTTATGTCTATATATTATGTCAGTTTATTATTTAGTACATAAATATTCCTATTATGTAATCAGATAAGTACTAACCTGCAGGCTCAAGGCAGCCTGGCAGCTTCTTGCCACATTAATGAATCTTGTGCGCCAGCCAATTACCTTCAATATTCGCTGCGTGGTATTAGCAACTGGTGTTCGACAATGACTCCGAAACTTCCTTTGGGGCAGTAATCACGATGAAGGCATGTACAAATTAGTATTGGTTTACCATGCTGCAAACGTTCAATTTAGGTCTGCACGCGAAGCCTTCGGGGTTTGTCCTATATTTCCAGCTGTGCAGATGCATTCATGCCACTCATGAGCTGAAAATCTGTGTTCTACACGATAGTCATGAGACGGGTCTTGTTATTCAAACGCGAAGCATAGCTGCAAACATTGGTGATTTGAATGTATCCACAAAGGAAAGAATCGATCAAAGCGGAAGGCTGACCTACTCATGGGTTTGGCGGCAGACACCTGAGAATCATCGCTGGATGATCGAATTAAGCGAGATTCAGAACTACGAAACCTTACTGAAGATAATTGTATAGGCTGTGATAAGGTTGAGGCAGTTTGCCCAAGCCAGGTCGCCTTACAACCTAGTTTGTTCCGTATCTCGGGCATGAGTCACATTGCATGAAAACCTCACGGTCAAAGAGCGATTTCAATATGGCCCAGTTGCCAATTTCGTTGATGAGCGGTTGAAGGACAGCACAAGCCGTTGCGGCGTGTCTTCATCTCTCATACGTGGCCACGTTTCTTTCAGATCCTGTGCGAGCGTCAAAGACGCCCTGCAGGCCTTGTGCAGGCCTTATAAATATATGAACAGTTAAGGGTTCAAAAACTATTGATGCAGGCGAAACGGGACGGGTCAATTCAAGGCGGTTAGTCATCAGGTTGCTTTGTACAAGCCATCGATTTCTTCGATTTGGCCGAAGTCTTCCAGATTGACTGTCACTGTGTTAACGACGTCTGATATCCCTAGTTGAACTTTCTCGAAGCTCTATCTCCTCATCATGAAGATTATCTTTTACTAACCAAGCCGCTGAGAGTAAATATTGCCTCGCGCGATTACTGTTCTTTTTAATGCTGCCGGTGCTCTCTCCACATCCCTGACAACACGCTTCAAGATGTCTCATTGTCTGTCCCGCATAGGAAGTAGGTTTTCCGCTTGGTGTCAGTACTAATACTGAAATGGGTATTTGTAGTAGAAGGACAGTATTCGTCGTCGATCTGATTCATCTACAGCGTTACTTCGACTAATTAATACCAGTCGTGGCGTCCTCAGTTTGACCCTACGCAGTCTCTTTCCACCGTAATTATCGGTGGGATAACTTTGCGATATTGTCGCACTAATGCTATCTTCATATAAAACGATAGTTCATTAATGCTAAGGAACAGGACTATTTCCCATTGTGATTTCCCGTCGACATGCTCAATCGCCTGCAACAGCTCCTTGGCCTTGTACGTTTGTGACATTGTCCGGCCGTGGAGCCATTCATTCATCTCACTCTAGCAGGTTGGCCATACACCAGGTGACCAAGCATCTCCTGTTCAGCCTTCGGTTGATGGTAGTCCCACGAGCCAGACCCCGATTGTCGACACTCCCAATAGAACTTCAGACGATCATTTTCCCAATGGACGCCCCCCTAGTACTTCTGACGCAGAGGACTCGTATGTCATTTCTTTGCTTCGGAGCAGGACTCTATGAACATTGAACATTAGTAGTGTTCTCTGTATCAAATCAAGTGATATCCTCAGGCAAACCAGCTATCCAACCGCCTCAGGTGGTCTTGGAGATGTTTACAAGTGTATATGGAACTGCGGCGCAAGTTCGGATGAGGTATTTCATAGACCTGCTTTTTCTGCATGCCCTTATTGTGACTTCAGGTCGCGGTCAAATCCCCACGATTCCCGAACCTGAGCGATCGTGAATTTGTTAGAATAAACAAGGTATCTCAGGGTCCAGTCTGACGGCCGCATAGCTGAACTTTCGAGACGCAGAACCTTGACCGCGAGATCGGTATATGGGCCACGTTGAAGCATCAATATGTATTGCCTTTGCATGGCACCGTAGATCAGCAGTTTGGCCCGTGTCGCGCATTGGTTTCTCCCTGGATGCCGAACGGGACTTTGAACTCTTACCTTAATCGCGTGCATGAGACCCTCTCGATGATGGATAGGCTTCTGCTGGCAAGTTATATTTACGAAGCCGAATAGGGGAACTTACTACGTTTGCAATAGCTTAAACAAATTGCCGAGGGGCTCCAGTATCGTGAGTGATGGATTGACGATGGAAGTGACCGATATAATTTCTGCAGTCCATGGCCAAGACGTGATACACGGTGACCTCACCAACGTAAGTTCATACATGCCATGCAAGTGGAATCATCTTATAGTGATTGTAGAATAATGTTCTGGTTGCTGCCGATGGATCCCCTCGTCTTGCAGATTTTGGTATCTCCAATATCATGGCACAATCTAACCCTGCCTTTTCCTACCACACCGGTGCAGTTCGTTGGATCGCTCCAGAGCTCCTTGACCCCCCGGAAGATCAGCCTATACAATGCGCAACTAAATCTACCGACATATACGCTCTCGGCGGTATCATGCTTCAGGTTCGTAGTCTCTCGTTGGCTTGCTACTGACACTAATATCGCCTGCGTGTAGGTCCTATATGGGAAACAGCCTTACTGGTGGCTGAAGTCCGCCATACATGTTATTTCTGCTAAGTTCAAACACGTAGAGCCCATCGACTCCTCCATCGATATCCAACCTAATCACCTGGATTTCATGCGGCGGTGCTGGTCAACGGCAAAGGAGGTTCGTCCGTCAGTAGAAGAGGTAATAAATCACCTTCAAGAAGCACTGTCGAATGATACTTCGTCTGTATAAGGTCTTGGTTTTGAAGCTATCCTCTTTCTTGTCTGTATGTTAACTCTGGTTGTATCCTATATCATGTTGCTCCATGTATATTCTCACTTCTCGGTGTCGTATGATACACTAGCTGGATTCGTGTTTATGTAGGAGCAATACTTGTGTGCTAGCAGACTGCATGCAAGATCGATCCTCGTGACATATGAAATCAAGGCAGTGGTGAATTGGGAAGCACGCAGATGCCGTTTCGAGTACACAACATCCTGGGCTAGTTCGTTCATATTTGTTATTACTTTGTTCTCAATAACTCTACAATCGCTGAGGCCACAGGCCGATCTCCGGATTTGACAGATATACATTTCAAGGAATACTCCTTGTGTACATATTTGACGTCAGTGAATTGACGGAAGGGTTTTGTTCCTGCGACTCTTGCCTCAATAATGTGGTACGCTTGCGTCAGCCAGACGTAAAGTACATGTCCACAAAACAACTGCACGTGGTCAGTACACTAACTAGTACGGAATCGAATGGGAGACAACACACCTGAAGCATGATACAACTATATGAGTAAACATTGGCGGCTTTGGTCGGCATCACCCCCCCCCTTTCTCAGGTAAAGAAAGCACTTCAGGCGCCATCCACCGCACATTTCCTTGGTGCACGAATTGAAGGTAGAGTTTTGTGATTCTGAAAGGATCATTGAGAGATCGAAGTCTGCAAGATGGAGACGCCCGTGGGCGCTAATTAGAACATTGGTCTGTAAATGGAGTTGTCGTACTAAGATATCATAGCCACGACTTTCAACACGTACGCATGTCAGATCACCATGAACCACTCCTTTGTTGTGTACTAACAAGTCGGTGAGTGCGTCTAATCCAAACACAGCAAAAAATATGGATGTACAATACTTGAGGCCGGCTGCTACCTGTCTCAACTGAAGACATATTAAAACTCGCCCGGTGTTGCGAGATACGGTGCGTACCATTCTCAATTTGTCAGCCTTGGAAGGAACACATCCCTGTTTCAGATAGCTATCGAGTGATCCGCTTTCCATCCACGGAGAAACCAGCGCAGGGAGTAGCCCAAATCCATCGATAATACCATTAAACATTCACATACTCTAGGGTGATACAAACATAGACCCCGCGACGAATCCTCTATGAGCTGAAATGGATGAACACAACGAATTTTAGTTCATTTTTGCTCCCACCTTGCTTGTCCTATCCACCAGTTCTACCTTATTTGTTTGAGGAACCCTAACTGATTTGACCGCAACCTAAAAGGTAGTTGATATTATGAATTTTCGATCAATTGCACAATTACCTTCGACGTTCCAACCTGAGATTGTCTAGACCAAGAACACATCCAGACATCACTGAGACCTTCCTGCACCCCTGGGATACAACTCAAGTTTTTTGACTTCTGTCACAGGAATATTATGTGGCTCAATTTTGAAATCACCTCGGGGAGGAGGCTGGGGACTGCCATTTCTATTCTGCCGAGGCCCGACGGTAATCTGTGACTGCTATTCACATTGAATGCAAGGGCATAGACTTACCACAAATTTCTGAGAATAGCAATTACCCATTGCAAGATAATAACAGTGCTACGCCGTAGCATTCAAGGCAGCCGTGGACGTCGTTTAAGCGGTTGATCTGCAGGTATATAATTCAGAGGCTCAATAGACGCCGCGTGATGGGGCAGTGAATTGTCATGCCATCATTAGTGGGAACTCCATGCCAGTTTGGATGAAACTTTGGTGGTAAACTCGATAACTGTGAGATGCAGTAAGCCCAACACAACTCAAAAGTGCTAACGATGGGCACTGTGGCAGTGTTCGTCTCTCGGCAGCTGACGTTATGTAAATGACGTCATCCAATTCCTTCCACCGACTTTAAAAGCTGTGCAGTTGTTCGTCCACCACGGTCCACCGCGGCACATACACATCAACGTTCAATTGCAACGTTCAGTTCGTGATTATTACGTCGACATTACATAATAGAAAAACCCGGATTTGTGGCCCGTACACAAGACTCTGTGGTAGGACTCGGGACTGTTCCTCCCGCAGTCGCCTCATTATGATACTGCAGCAGTCCAGAATCCAGATATTCTGTCACGCGATGTATGAAATCTTCGTGGACAAACATAGGTCTTCTATCAGACTATCACGAAGGATTCCACTAACGCTGCACTGGCTGGCAGTGCTTATCATGAAACCGAATTCTTCAGCGCTATGGAAGTTCTCAAAGGCATGTGCTAAGGCAAGTTCGTAACCGGAAATAAAAAGGATCTTGTATACTGATGTCACACACTAGTACTTGGTCATTCCCTGACCAGCTTTTTGAGCGTTAAGACTTGCCGCGGGATAGCTTGCGGGAACATACTACGTCTCTTATTGCTTTCCACCAGATCTGAGAGGGCTCACTCTTAAACACTGGGAATTCAGGAAAGCCTCACGCGTGAACGCAGTCCAAGGAGCCTCATGTTTATCCTCAGTCACACCTCTTTGTCGCACTAGAGACTTCTTCTGCCTCAAATGAGACGTTGTATGCTGAGGAAAATCCAGCGCGAGTGTTCGTTTCATGAATTGCGCTCATCCGGCCTTATCCGGGGCCTACATAGAACATCTGATGAGTCGGGACTACATAGTTTCCCGAATTAAGCCCACGCTTGACACAATTAATCTGCTAGGTTTTTTTTCATCCAAGGTGCGTGCTTAGTGTCTGAGAAGCGATGTTTGACACAACGGTTCTGACACCACGGTTCTGACATCCCGGTTCTGACACTCTAGGTGTTCGACAGTCGATCAGTGAGATGCGCTCGCTCGTCGAAGACGAAAGAATTCTCACCATCCCCCTTAGCTAATTTCTCTTCAGACCACGCAGGACTCAAATAAAAACTCTTCGCGTTGTCACTACTAGTGTTCTAGCATCGATCGTATCTGCCAATGACAGGTGAGAGCTTTATGATCTGGTGCTACAATCAGTGGCGCAACCCTTTAACAACAAGACAGGCGTCATGAACTAGGCCACAAAAAGGCCATATAGCTTGCTGCACACAGGATTCAGGAAGCTTTATCCCGCAGGACTACACACAAGAATTGAGTTTCCTTACCCAACACCGCTTCCGCTTCGAAGCGTTCTAATCTCCGATGTCGGAAAATATGATTACTCAGTCATCGCACAGGGTGATACAGTCCTTAGCCTGATTCGAGTCTACCTCTGACGGAAAAAAATGAGCAAGCGCCCCACGTGTACTTGCATAATGAGTTTGGAAATATAATACTTCGATCGTAGCTTTCCATGGAGAAGTTACGACAAAGATAAGCAACTGAGGATGGGATCCTTGAGTGTTAATCTTGCATACTTGTATTTGCATGTGGTTCAAACATGCGCGCCGCAAGATATCTCCCTCCGAGTCTGATGGAAAACATGGAATATATTGATCATAAGACCATTGAGTGACACAGCCCGTCAGGGTTTTCCACCGCACATGCTATCAAGACACTAGGCCTTGCGCTCAAACAGGTTATATGGCCTCATGGTCGTGGTATTTTTGGGTTGATAGCATAGTTAATTTGTCTCTTCAGCAGTGGTATATAAGGGTGCCCGCTTCGTCTCCTACATCCCACTTGTCTAGTACCTGTCATTTTGAACTCTGAGATCTGGATTTACTTCACAATGGGTGATCTCCCCCCCGTAAGTCGACATTGCTTCCACGTTGATGACATACTGATATTAATGGCAGGAGTCAGTTCAATTTAAAATTGAACCATCTCATATTCCTGCGACAAATATCGTAAGAGATGGCAAATTTCCTAACTGTAGAGGAGGGCTCGGTGACATCTGGAAATGTTCAATGATCACACAATCTGGAAGCCCGATGCCTTGTGAGTTTAAACATGGGTAAAAGACTCATCATTTATCATAATCAAGGTCGCTGCCAAATCTATCAGGGTCCTTTCAACAACAGATGCGAAAATATTGAAAGAGATAGGGAAGGTTAGGGTTGGGATTGATATACAGTACCACTCGCTGATACATTTGCTCCTCAGAGAATTCGTCGCGAGGCCTATATTTGGATACTGTTGGAACACGACCACATTCTCCCTCTCGAGGGTGTGACTGTCGCTGAAGAATTCGGGCCACTCCCGGCACTAGTGTCTCCATGGATGGAAGAAGGATCGCTGGACGATTACTTGAAACGCGAGTTTTCTGGAATGTCTGACCCCCGAAAACGAGAGCTTGTGGGTACCAAATGGCTACCGCACTAGCTTATACTTAGCCATGATTTCAGATATGCCAGGTAGCTGCTGGTATTAGTTACCGTGCGTTGTTAACAGATGTAGCGATCGCACCATTCACTAAAGACTATCCACTAGTACACGGCAAGGGTATCGTGCACGGTGACTTGACAGCGGTAGGTCTCATCCCAATTCACACGTAGTATGGAACTGAATTCGATGACAGACCAACGTTTTGGTTGACAGCTCCGGTTGCCTCCGTCTCGCAGACTTTGGTCTATCGATGGTCCTTGCTGAGGCAGGAAACGCCACATTCAACTCCTGTCATCCAGGAAATGTGCGTTGGATGCCCCCCGAGGCTCTCCGAGACGGAGATGAAGACGAAGACGAAGCTAAAGACGAAAAGCCAACAAAAGCTTGGGATGTCTATTCGTATGGCTGCGTAGTGTTGCAGGTCTGTCAGGTTGTTAATACGCGAAAACAGCCTTCTTACGGTAGTCCAAGGTCTTCTCGGGAAATCAGCCCTACGCGTGGATAACAAGTGTTTTAGCTGTTATGGGCGCAATGCAGAAGGGGCGTGTGCCTTTCAAGCCTGAGGGCATTCAGAGTCTTGGGGTGTATCAACAGTTCTCACCGTGCTTGAATAGGATATCAGCCGATCGCCCGACGATAGACGATATCATGAGAGATCTGGGGTTACAGTAGACGTTGACATGTAGTGAGATATTATGATAGTGTACGCCAATTAATTGCAGTGACAAAGTTGGAGGATATCATTGCTACGAGTTAGTGCTTACGACTACATTGTCACGGCCTGCACTCCCCAACACCCACTTTAGTGAGAGGGTTCTGTAGTCCCGTAAGATGCGGTATGGACGCGATGTTATGTTTGGTAGAGTGCGCACTACGCAGAGACCGAATGAAGAGGTTGATCTGATCAAAGACCGTCACCACCGTTTTCCGACTCACTCAAGTGCTTGCCGTGTCGGAGTTCAAATTATCAACTTAAGTACTGACAATCCTACTAAATCATGACGGGCGGCTTTTTCGTAGTTTCATTAGTCAGATCAAAGGAGAAGGAAGACAGTCGTTCCTTGCTTTTTCGTCTCATCCGTCTCATCCGACGGTCCGCGTTAGTAACATTTTCAAGCCTGAGGCGCGTGTAATAAGTCACGTTGTGCATTTTTCAGAGTCCGACTTACCTTGCCGCTGCCGCTTGACCAGCCGGAATCCATCCCAAATCTAATTATTTAATAGCATTGCCACGAGTCACAGGTACCGAGCCAGCGGATATGCGAGCCTTTATTATACTAGACACTATATTATGCCAGTGAGGCAGCTAGAATAAAAAAGACGAGAATAAACCAGTTCCGAACGGTCAAATTAGGTAGATTTAAGATAATGCCCCGATAGAGATAGCTTGCTCGAGAAAGTCCAGTACCTCCTCCACTGCTGGACGATTCTTAATCTCGATTGCCCAGCATCGCCGCATGAAATCCAGGTGATGTGCTTGAATTTGCATGGTGCTATTGATGGGCTCTTGGTAATTGAACTTTGATGCCATGACTTGCAGGGCAGTCTTGATCCACCAGTAGGGTGGTTTGCCATATAACACCTACGAGTATAGTGTCAGCGCCATAAACAAACGCAAACGAGGCACTGACCTGAAGCATGATACACCCAAGAGCATATATATCACTGGATTTCGTGGCACATTGCACGGTTTGATCTTCCTGAAGGACAATGAGCTCTGGAGCTACCCAACGAACTGCGCCAGTTTGGTAGGAGAATGCCGGGTTGGATTTTATTATGATATTCGAAACACCGAAGTCTGCAAGGCGCGGGGATCCATCGGCGGCAACTAGGACATTGTTCTATAATCATAATCAGTGGATCACGGATTGTGTAATGTAGGTAAACCTACACTGGTCAGATCGCCGTGAATCACGTTATTGTCGTGGACTGTCTACAGTATTTAGTTAAACCAATCGCTTCTAAGCCAATCCCTCACTTACGGTATTTGAGCCCCTCGGTGATCTGTTTAAGCTTTGAGAAACAGTAAGCTCCCGTAATCGGCGTTGAAAGAGAAACATACAATGTGAAGTCTACCAATCGTCGTGAGGGTTTCATGTGCACGAGTAAGGTAGGAGCTCAATGTTCCGTTCGGCATCCAGGGGGAAACCAATGCTCGAAACGGACCGAAACCTGTTACGGTGCCATGAAGGCATAATACATATCGATGATTTAATTTGGCCCAGACTTTGATTTCGCGGTCAAGATTCTGTGTTCCACAGTTCAGACACGTGGCAGTTTCAGAGGCTATTCAAACATACACGATCTATTTTGGCAACTTCGGCGTCCGTGAGATTTGGGAACCGTGGAGATTTAACTGCAACCTGAGCATAAGTGAGCATAAGTATGGAGAAAATCAACGTGTGACATACTTCTTCCGGACTCGCGTCCCTGTTTAATATGCATTTGTAGACATCTCCAAGTCCACCCGAAGCGACTGGAAAATTGGGTTTTTCGGTGGCAATGCTTGTGTCTTTAATGAATGAACCATACGTTGATGTCTGAGCAGTTGCGATTGGAATTAAAGAAACAAGATGGGAGCCCCCTTCCTCAGAGATGGGAGAGCCCCCGCTTTCTCCGTCTTCGGAGGTACAAACAGGGGAAGCGTCGCTTAAATAAGGTTGCTCATCATCAGATACGGAGGGTGAGTTGGGTCGACGAAGGTAAAGAGAGACTCGATGTGCAAGAGTCTTCACAGTCAGCATATTGATAAGAGAAATACAGGCACAACAAGGATGTGGATATACTTTCCTAGCAATGGTGGTTTGCCGTCTTATACACAAGAACAACAGCAGTTACCGTTGACATCGCAAAGTAGATTCACCAGTAGCTCCGGGAAGTAGAAATTGCAGAGGGTGCACCAGGTCAGCCACAACTGGCATAGATTGAATGAAATCCATGCTGAATGCTGACTTCCCGCCACATAAACGCGCATTACTAAATGCGTCCAGTGGAGAAAGGCAGACAGTGAGTTCATCAGACTTCCTGAGGCGTGTCCAGGGTTGTGGAGCCACTGATTGAAAATTTGGCCCAAACTGCGCTATCGCGCAGGGCATCGGTCTCAGTATCAGCCCCGTGGTGGAACGTGAACCTTGATAACCAATTCTATGTTAGCAAATGCTGCCTGTCGTCTGACTTCGAGCGCCGAGAAGTATGCGCTCATCCTAAAATGAATGGTTCTACCTCCTCTATGATAACAACTCGAGGCGGCGCCTATATGACTCGCGTTGTTCTGTCCAACGTAACTCCACTGTTTAGACCACCCATATCCGATAAAGGGAACTTACATCCTGATCATCGATCAATCATATGGTGCTCGGACAGTCCCGAATTCACGGTCCATCATCCACGGAAATTTGAGTGATGTGCGTGCGTATCTAAGTAGAGCTCCCAATCAGAATGCTACTCTGTTGACGAAAATGCAAAGAAAAAAAACTTCACCTCGCCGATTGTGGATTCTCTGTGAGTAATTCAAGCCTCGAGGCACGGCACCCTGGATGTGAAGGATAGCATTACCTGGGGTTTGATAATCAGTATTCTCCCCCAGAAGTTTAATCTCGGAAGGACCATGCTTCAGTGATCATCAATACCAGTGAGTCACTCATCTCCCTGCAGGTCTCAAGGACAAAGTCCCATCATTGGATAGACACAGAACAGCGGCCAAACTAAGCCCGCATAACTAAGGCAACTGTGATTTCATTCAAAGTTTAGAGGTGATGGTCAGCAAACATGAAACGTCTGTCGGCTGAAGAAGAAATCATTGCATTTCTGAAAGGACAAGCTCAATATTAGTGTTGGACCAAATCAATCCGCAAATGCCCATCGCGTGTGAATAGACATTAACCCGAGAGCATTGGTTTGATGACTCACTATTAGGTACCGTAGGTCTAACAGATGCAGATCATGTGGCAGAAGTATGGCGCGGCGTGATACACGTTATACAGCAACATCGTCCAATCGAGTCATATTCAACACCCCCTTACCAAATCCACTCGCAACCACTTCAAACCCATTATCTTGCACATCCGCGAGGAATAGCTCGTGTTGATCTGCCATCCTTTCATTATTCCTCCGAATCTCCTGGATGACCCCATGTTGGCGTACGCAAAGCGGGCATTCGGTCTCGTGATCGAGCAGGCACCTATATTAAATGCACGTTAGCACTGACATCACGAGATAGCCAGACGAGAAGGTATGCTTTCGAGAAAAGAAATAGATCGGTTCAAATAATGAATACGTACCGTTGGTGATATGAATGGTTGCACATGAAATGGACACTGGGCAGGTCGAGCTGCCCGCTGCACTGAGAACAGCGCGTCACACTAAACACTTTTGCATGCATCGGGTCCTCTAGTTCAGCCACTTGCTTCAACTTCGCATTCGTCTCCAGCCGGTAGGAATTAATCAGTTGTTGGTCCTGTCGCGAAAAACCATCAGCACGAAAATGAGAAAGAAATGTAAAGAAATTACTGTCTGCACTTCTTCCCTTGCCTCCTTGATGCGTCCCATCAGCCAATCCTTAACAAGTCCTACGCTCGCTACTCCATTCCTACTCAGGATCTGGACTACACCAAGCGGAGGTATTGTCCGCTCCTTCTCGATATGTTCCAGAATCATCTCCACATCCGCCTGGTGCCGCGTGAGTAGCTCTGGTGTGCTTGTCAAGAAGCGCAGCACTAGCTCATAGAGGTGCGGGTGCGTTGGACCATATCGTACAAGGGCCTGTACGACTTCGGTGGACGCGGATGAGTCGGAAGGCGGTGCGTTGTGCTTGTCCATCCAAAACCGTAAAACGTCCTCATACATCCCTAGCTTCTCCCAGAGTATAACCAGACCTCGGGTATAGCTATAGCTGCTGCAGAGAATCAGCGCATGTGTCTTATCGCACGGTAAGGAGTCGCTCGTCAGAATTTTGATTGCCTTGTCCTGTTGTTCTGGAGAGCCTCCGTCAAGGTAGAGCTCAAGCAACGTGTTCCAAACTGCTGCCTGATTGCGTTTCTCTGAGTCTTCGTCTTCGTTTTCGTCCGAACTGGCATTTGGAAGGGAGGATGGGAGAGAGGAGAGCGACTGTCCCCATCGACGTGCGGCTACGCTTTCTAGGAAACGGACAAAATATGATGGGTGATCAACAAAATGCGCGAAGTAGAGTGTAGGCGAAGGCCGTTTCTCTTCAGATGGTGTTGGTGCGCTGGGCTGCGTTGCTTGAGGTTCCGTAGGTTCCTCCTCTTCGTCCGCTTTGGATTCCTCAACTTTGTCTTCAGGCGCGGGTGTACGAGAGAGGGCAAGGTACGAGAGGTACGATGGGGCGTTTGCCGGTGTGCTCGACTGTTGTGGGGTGGTGTCCTCTGCCTCGGGTATGATGAGGGGACCAGAAACGGTGCAAAGATCGATGAGAAGCTGCGTCGTCTCCTCTGGGAGATTATCTAGCATAGCGCGTCCGTACCTTGCGAGGTTACTTTCCGCCTGTGTAGATATATTAGCCTCACATAGGAAAAAAAATCCAAACAGAAAAAACGAGGATTGGACTTACCGCGGCTGCTCCCAAGTGTCTCAAATACGTCAATGCCTCCCCGTACTTCCCAGCGTCCTCGATCATAACCCTCAGATACTCCTCGTGTCGGTTGTAGCGCTTTGCAAGGTAGCTGGCATGATCAAAGTACCCTGCCTGCCTGCACACCCGGATAGCAGTGTCCAGGTCGAATGGAAGGTCGCCGTTCGACTCTGTCGCACCAGAGCGTCGAGACTCTGTTTTAATGAAGTTGTCCAAGCGTGTAACGTCTTTGAGTTTGGTGTAGGTATTAAGCAGAAGAGTAGTATGGTCAGCATTTGCAAGGCCAAGGGCATGCAGCTCTTGCAGATAGGTAACGAGATTGTGTATACGCTGAGCGTCCAGGAACTGTGCCACGATTGTCAGACCTGTCGTGTTAAAAAAAAATACGAATAACTGACTTTTCTAACAACGTAGCTCGGTTTCACCCACCCTATCGTCTTCAGGTAGCACGCCATCGCGCCATCCCAATCTCCTTTCGTGTAGAGGTAGTCACCGTGCTGACGGTGAATATCAGCTACGTAGCTCTCGTCGAGGTGTTGTGTCTGCGCGAGACTCAGTGCAAGTGGGTATAGAGCCTTTGCGTACAACATGGAGAGTTTTGCAGAGGTGGATTTCTCGGCAAGGCGAGTCAGCTAAACAAGGGCAGCGACGTCAGATTAACAAACAACATACTATCCTGAACATTGCTGGGACGCACCTGCCCATCATTTGTGAGGATGTAGATATTCCCCCACTCCGAGATCACCTCTCTGATACCCTCAGCAAACATCCCGGTATATCCAACTACCTTATTCTCCATGTCAAACACGGTCACCCTCGACGCATCACCGTCTCCACCTGCCGCTTGCGCCGCAAGCTTTCGCGTCGTTGCAACTGTTGTGGGTGGTGAAACAACTATCACATAGTTAAGGTGGGTGTGGATCGACGACTTGTAGCCTGCGAAAGAGTAACATCACTTCCCAGTACTTAGACTCGTATCAATCCACTCACCCTCATAAGCATATGGCGGCTCCCTCCCCTGTAAACCATACGCATATACTGCCTCGTCTCTCGCAAGCACGATCTTCTCGGCGCGCCAATCCATGACCGCACATCCTAGTCCACATCCAATATCATCCAGCAATAGGCTAGATCCTCCGCTCCCTTTTCCGGACACATGGTACAAGTATACCGAGTTTGTAGTCACAATGAAAAGATGCAAGTTGTTATCCTTAGCATCGGCATTGGTGGGACTCGGAAGTTCTCGGAAACCGAGACCAGTGATAGGTTCAGGGGATGATTCATGGATGGTGCGTGTCTTAGGCAGTGCAGTCAGGGATGCTGCGGGAGATAGTGACTGGTCCAAGTGCCTGTAAAGTAATACCGTCCCGTCGGCCAATCCGATGGCAAGGAAAGACAGTGCAGAAGAAAGTGCAAAACAAGAGACCTAAATTACAAGTTCACAGAACGAAAGCAGAACATAGTGAGCCACTCACCGGATGAGGCTTATTGCTAGGCTGGATCTTGGAAGATCTCAACAACAATGGCGCTTGGTCTCTCTTGTCCGTCTTCTCAAGATCCCAAATCTTCAACAAACTACCCCGTACTGCATCCTCCTCCCCAATTGTCACCAACACACCCTTCCTCTCTGCCATGTGTATTACTCGTCCTCCCACATGTGCGACCCAACTCGTTGTCGATACGAACTCCTTGTTGAGAATGTGTATGCTGCCGTGAATATCCGCAGCGAGCAGCCCAGCACTGGAGGAGACGACAGTTGAGATTTCTGAAGCGTTTTTGAAAATCTCGGGTGAGCTAGCAAGGTCGTGGGCGTCCTTCACAGGATGAACATCAAAAAACGCAAATTGTCGAAGCTGAAGGGGTCTAGTGACTGAGGGCGACTACGAAATCTGACAGTGGCCAACATACCGCAGTAGCAGCTACACCAGTCGTATTTGCCATGGAGCTTACCACGAAAATTGATTGCTGCAGTCTGTGAGGGGGGAATAATATTGAAACAACGCTGGAAGTCTGGAACCTTTCCTGCTTTGAGTACTAGGTGAGAGTGCTGAAATGATGTATTGTAGTCAGGAACAATGGACCATAATGTTACAACTATATACACTACTACATAGTAGGACTAAATACTGATGTGCGTCATTCAAGGCTGGTGTAGTATATTATGTATCACTACTCTACAGAAATAGCTACGATCTGGGAGTCTATTGAGGAAATCTGTGTGGGAGTAGCAGGAGTGAGCGTTAAGGTATGAGATATCACGAACATTATATATCGTACAGAGCATAAGACGGAGAACACAACATACAAAATGGCCATGTCACGGCATCACGAGTCGTATGAGAGAGTTAGGAGCTTTCTTGTGGCAGTTTCAGCTGCCCCTGTACAAATATCGAGACTTCCTTGGCCGAAGGCCTCTGTTCCGGCTTATCAAGCCAGCACTTCTGCATGAAATCCCATACAGCATCCGCAATAGGCGGAGTCACTGGTCGAGCAGGCTTCCGGCCTCTAAGTATCTGCACGGTAACTTGATGGTCACTTCGAAATTCAGAATACGGAACTTTTCCTGTAAAGACCTGCAAGGAGAATCATAATTACATTGCATGGTGTCAAGATCCACCCACAAACCTGCAACATGATGCACCCGAAAGAATAGATGTCTGATGCCAATTGGGGCGAACTTATTGATTCGTCATCTTCCGGGACTTGAAAGTTTTCAGGTGCAGCCCATCGCACATTGCTTCTGATATATGACGTGCCATGGAGCTCGGCACAAAAAATGAGAATTCCATGGTCAGCCACGAAGGCATTGCCGTTCTCATCAACGAGAATGTTGTTCTGAACCACGTCAATAATTTCTTCGATGAAGAAAGTATCTGTGGTACTTACGCCGGTGAGATCACCGTGTACTATATTTTCGGAATGCACTAATATTCATGTTAGCTTTCGCCGAATACTGACGTTTGTCGCATACAGTACTGAAGAGCTGAAGCGACATCTTTGAGCTGTAACAGCAAATACTAAGATGCGAACCATACCACGAAAAAACACCCACGATTTGGAGCATTCGAGTGAGAGTAAGTTGCTGGAAATCACGCTCGAGAAGTACGGTAAGTGAGCCTTTGTGCATCCATGGGGAGACGATAGCAGGCAGCAGACCGAACCCTTGAGTTATTCCCAGGAAAGGTAACAGATTGGCGTGTTCTAGCTGAGTGTTCCGCTGTAAGTTATGTTCCAGCCTCTGAAGTGTCGTACATTAGCAAATAAACACATGGTACCCGTGCGCGGAGCGACCCGAACCTCGGTAATTTGTGTCTTGCAACGGTCATTCGGAATTTCAAGTCGCAAACACTTTACTGCAACCTGTCAAACAGGAAGACGGTCAGTCATGGGCGCATATTAACTTGAAGGAGCTACTCACCTCTACCGTGATTTGAGGGTGCTTATGTATGCACTTCCAGACATCCCCAAAGCTGCCTTGTGCGACAGGGTATCGGGATGATTCCTTGCTTATTTGCTCAGTAAGGTCGGGCAGACTAACAATCCGTAGATACTCAGTAAAAATTGCGAGATTCAAATGCACAAAAAAACAAACTCAATATTTGCATTCTTGTGATATATTGTTTCGACGTTCACTTTTTGTGCCGACTTCAAACGAAGCCTTGCAAAGCTGGCAGGTAGCAAGCGTATCCCCCACTTCTTCAGCCAGGCTAGAAATCGAGCGAGAAATTCCGAGACTTTCATGGATGATATCTAATGGAGAAAAATGTGGGATAATATAGTAGTGGTGGTAGCCTATGAGAGAGTCAACGGGACGGAATCTTGATGAAGCCTACAGTTGTGAAAGCCTGCCCGGGTGACAGGCACGCTTGGTCCTTGGATTTGGAGTAATATGACGACCTGTTGATGGGCCTGCAATGTGACGACTCCAAGTGTTTATCGATTATCATCTAGCTAGATATAGTGCCAACGGGCATATTAGGACATGCCATTATATAGGCGTAGTAGGTTGAGAGAACCAAACTTGAAAAGGAAATCGTATAATTATGACCTCGGCGGCCTATTCCCTTCACCCAGACTGCTTCTTCAACGATAGCCATTTCCCAGGGACACTTCAACATCGCGGGCAGAGTGGGTTCAGGGATTTGCCATTCCCAGTAGTGTTCTGAAATTCGTGATGCTAAGCTACTTATCATGCATTGCTCTATGATACGACCTTTGTCCAATCATCAAATTAATACATGTAAGTCAAGTACCTTGCGCCCTTGATTCAAGGTACAACTATATATATAACATCAAACGTTGCAGATAGGCGTCGGACCGTGTCAAATCGTAATAAACACGCTGTGATATCATGACATGTCAATCAGACACCCATGTACTTGCTAGCTTTAATGTAGTGAGCCGAAGAAGTGAATGTTCCAACCCTAAGCTGCAGGCAACGCCAGGTGATCAAATAATCTTGTTATGCCCACGATTGAACGTAACTTTGGTGGTGGGCAACGCCCGCCAACAAAGTGTGACACTTATATAAGCCGAATTCCCCTAAGTCCGCGAAAATCGTGGCACAACTGCAAGAATTACAATTTCAACTGTTGGAAATCAATCCGTCAACATAGTTGTATAGATATCCTTTTTGTTTGGTGTCGCGTTCATTACTTTCAACGTACTTACTACATATGGTAACTCTGCTCAAGATACATTCGTTCGTCTCATTTTCCCTTCTTCCCCCAGTCTGTCCCAGGCCTCAGTGTCATATTGATGCAACATTTTGCTGCAGTTGCAAGGGATCCAGTGATGCAACAGTGCAGCGTGGATCCTCGGATAGCACTGATGCATTGCGGGTAGGAAAAGCTCCCGGCTCATTGCTTTCCCAGCTGGTCACGCAATTACTTATAGCACGCACATACACTCGGATCATTCTTCCTTTCTCCCTTATTTATCACTGCTTATATTCTGCCAGTCTGAGTTATGCTGTTCTGTTCTGTCCCATGCACAATGCACATACACTTGTATCATTCTTTCTTTCTCCCTTACTTATCACTGCTTGTATTCTGTAAGTCCGAGTCACGTTGTTCTGTTCCGTCTCATGCACATATACTCGTATAATTCTTCCTTTCTCCCTTACTTATCACTGCTTATATTCTGCAAGTCCGGGTCACACTGTTCTATTCCGTCTCGAGTCTGATCTTCCACATTAGTGCTGCTGCGGTCCGGTTCCGAACTGTGGTTCGAACCTGACCAATGGTCAGGTTCGTCCATGGTTCAGTCCACAGTTTCCCATTTTGGACGGACCAAACCAAAATGAGGTTCATGGTCTGTGGTTCCTGGGATGGTTCGAACATGGGTTTGGACCTTCCCGAACTGTTCCGAACCCTGAACCTGAAGCTTCCTCAAGTGTGACATATCGGTGAGGCTGGTCACTCATCTTCCCAACTCATGGGCATGACTTCTTGGATCCTCGACATCTTTAACTTTCGATTCTGTCCGGAGACTCGCATTTTGTGCTCCCAGTTGTCCAATCAAGTTCAAGGTACCAATTAACCATCAATGAAGCTCAATAAACTGACTGATATATTACTTTGATATATTTTGTAGGATCCTCCAATGCACATGGTGGAGACTGGCTGGTAGTTCTGTCCACACATAAAAGGAGCAATGTCTACCAGGTGAGTGATATCTTCCTCTCATAATGTCTGGATCTGACGCTTGTGCCCTCAATGCTGACGGTTCTCTTAAGGATGCCAAGGATATTGTATTTTACAATGATCCTGATGATACTGTCCCTCTTCCACCCTCTGCCAAGTCTGCGCCACCCTCTGCCAAATCTGCGGCTGCCCCCACAGATGCCTTCTTGGTGTTACTGAAGGCTGGATGCAAACCAGCACCACTTACTGCGGGTGCTCAACACTCCATTCATACCTCTAAGTTCTCTGCTCGCCTCCGTGATGCCGACAATGCTTGTTCTAACCAAGTGTCCAGCTTGACAAGCCGCAAACATGCACGTGCCTTATCTAGTACTACTACTGAGCCACCAGTTACAAAAAAAGTGGTCTTGCAGCTCTCAGCTCCGTTATCTGACGATGATGACTCTCATGTCACTGGTGCTGAGTCTGCCAACACGGATCATGATACCGACACCAATGATGCACCTGCTGAAGACCAACCTGAAGATGAAGATGAACAAGCCGAACCTGAAGATGCCACCATCCGAACCACTCTGTCAAAGAGTGAGGCAGTGCTGGTGAAGTCATAAGCAAGTACACCTTTCAGGGTGGTATCTCTACACTATGCACCCATATTAGTCGGTAAGTTTATGTCTTCAGTCTCTTGAACAAATAATTACGGATATCTATGGTCATAAAAATCACTTCCAACTGTACAAACACGCTGTGAAGCTGCGGGCATCACAATGCACCCTTGAGTGGTTCCCACTGGCGAAGCTCAATGTCTGTGAGTTACACTCGCACATCATGTATTGTGTTGTTGCTGATTCATACGTAGTTCAAGGCAATCCACCCTCGACAGCAACCTTGTTCCAAAACTGCCCATGTTTAGCAAGGCTGGCCTCCTTGAGTACATAATGGAACTTATTGCCACTGAAGATGAAGCATTACAGCTTGTTGACAAACCAGCTTTCTGCAAGCTGCTCTGCTATGTCCGCCCTGCCCTTGTTGAGGGTGATATCCCTCACCGCACTAAGCTTACAGAGAGCATCAAAGCCCACGCACTAACTGTAGTTGATGTCATTAATGAATATCTTGCGAAAGTGACAGTCAGGTCTCAATGACTTTTGACTCCTGGACTTCTATCATCGGCGACCCTTTCTTCAGCATTACTGGCCATTATATCTGGAGCCTGGATGATAAACCCCAGCAATGGGAATTACGCCATGAGCAACTCAGTTTTGACCACATCGAGGGCAATCACAGTGGACAGAATACTGTGCGCTTAATTATTGATGCCATTGACACATACAAACTATGAGATAAGGTAAAGTCTAGTCTTTAGTCTACATAATCTGCGCTGAAGCCAGTTTAGGTTGGGTGGATGACCTCTGATAATGCCACCAACAACGACACTGCCTATGAAAGAAGTTGGACATCAAATCGATCCCGAGGGTACCTGTTGGGCACCTGATGCATGTCGCATCAGGTGCCAGGAACATATTCTGAACCTTGCTGCTCGACACTTTGTTGATGGAGTTTCGCCCACTCCACAAGCTGCTCTGATGTGAAAGATTCACTGAGGTGCTTGATGATGGCAATGACACCGAACTCGACACTTTGACTCAAGAGCTTTCTTCCATGGAAGTCGGTGATGATGATGATGATACCTCATTCGATGCTGGTGATTCACTCAGTAAAGCTCTCGCACTCATTGAGCAGGTATGTACTCTTGTTATTAGCCTATGCTTGTTGATAATCAAGATTTTCAGATCCGAAAGTCGCCTCAAGCTTGCACATTTTTCCAAAAGGCCTGCCAGGAGGAGAATGTACCTCAACTGGAGTTGTTGCAGTGGGTCAGAACTCGCTGGGCTTTGTTATATAAATGCCTGGACCGCATGTTAATATTACGTCGCAGTGAGTTTTTTCTTTCAATGTTTGAAAATGGCCTGATGTATATATTCAAATAGGCTGTGAATCATTTCATGAACCTCGCGGATGAAAGCAAAGAAGTGCCGAACTCTTTGCAACAAGTCTTACGACGACTTTAAGCTTGACCAGGGCGATTGGAAACACCTTGTGCTCATTCATCAAGTCCTCAAGGAACCGGCAACTGCTCAGCAATCATTCTCATCAGCAAAGCACCCAACTGCATGGCGCACAATCCCTACACTGGAGTGCCTCGCCAATTGATGGAAATCCATGGCAGCTGATGTGCAATATGCATTGATCGCCGATGCAATTAAGCAGCGACTCAAGAACGTTGACAAGTACTTCAAGAAATTGAGTGAATGCGACGTGTATTTCATTTGTCTTGGTGCAGTAGTTATTTTTCTATGACTCGTGCATAGTATCTAATATAGTTTAAGTTCTTGATCTGAACTATAAGCTCGTGTACATTGAAGGTCAGTGGCATGCTCGAGATGTCGCAGCTGGCAGGGCTTGCTTGGAGGCTGTGTTAAGTACTCGTCTACACTGTTTGTTCCCCCTTTGATCTCATTTTACAGTTCAATAAATATTATACACTGCCGAGTCAGGAAGCTACTGAAGACCAATCTGCTCCGCCAACGAAACCTGCACACAAGCAGTATGGTGATAATTGGATGCGTGAGGCTATCAAGACATGACAAACAAGGGACCATCTCACTCACAATCCTTGGCAAGAGCTCACCGCTTACTTGTCTTTGGTGCTAGAGTACACTGATAACATTGTTGTCTGCTGGGGGGTGAGTCCATTTTTTGACTCATTTTTTCGCTACTTAACTGTTTCTTAGCTTCACTCACTGCAATACCCTACACTTGCACGCATTGCACACGACTACTTACCCATTCAAGGCAGCGCTGTTCCCTCTGAACAAGCATTCTCAAGTGGAGGAATCACTTCGACTGTGTGACGCAATGCACTTGCAACCTCCACATTCAGCACATTACAACTGTTGAAGGGAGCATACAGGAACGGGCAGCCTTGCTGCTGCAGTAGAGGCTGAGGGACATGCAGCTTCATTGGATATGTAGATACCAGTACAAGTATTTCGACTTTGTTTTTTTTGCTGGCTATAAAAAACATTGGGTCTGGTTTGTGTTCAAACTGAGAAAAAAACTGAACCTGACCACTGTGAACTGTCCGCAAAGGTTTGGTCCAAGGTTCGTCAATAAAGGTAGAACTGGACCAAGGTCCGGTTCTCGGTTCTTGTCCAACTGCCTCTGAACCTGACCAAACTGGACTGCGGCAGCACTATTCCACATAATGCAGGCTGATTACTTAGTGTGCGTATATATTCATATCATTATTCATTTCTCCCTTATCCCTGCTTGTATTCTGCAAGTTGGAGTCATAGTCATGCTGTCCTGTTCCGTCTCGAGTCTGACCTTAGGTTTTTGTTCTTGGCAAGCTTTCACAATGCAAGAATAATTTCGTTCACTAAGTATAGACAGGACAAAGGTCTAGGGACCACATCTATTACATCTCTATAGCATGAAAATTTATGATCAGAGCACAGATCAAACAGAGAAGAGAACTTCATGGATCCAACATAAAGCCAGTCTGCTCATGCCCTTGTTTAGTCGTTTCCTGTTTCTGTTAGCAAGTGAGAATAGAGCAAGATTTTTCAAACATACTTTGTTGGAATAACACACTCTGCAGTCGAGTCAGCAGTACACTTCAATGATGTTCCCCCAACCTCCTCCAAAGCACTTGGATTTTCCTTGCTACCAATACCAACAAATGTCAGGCCATCTGACCCGATTGAGTCAGCAATATCACTCCACCTGGATTTGATTGGAATGTGCTTCAATACATGTGCCACTCCAATCTGATTTGCAGTATCTTTTTGCGTGACATTATTGATAGTAAGTGAATTACCCAACATGTTACCTTCATCTGCAGCAATGTGCGTCGTTTCCGTTACTGCGCTGGACTTGGCACTAATAGGAGTTGCCTTGGGTTTCAATTTTGGTTTGGGTTTGGCCTTGGGTTTGGCAGTTTTTGCAAGCGCAACCACAGGAGTAGAATTGACCAGGGGAGCGAGTTTGACTGTAGTGGGTGCAGCTGTAACAGTGGGAGTGTCTGCAATGACTTCAGCGGCGGATGGAGGCTTGTTGGTGTGTGCTGTGAGAGACTTGGTCATAGGAAGTTTCGACTTGGACTTGGACTTGCGCTTGGACTTAGCATGTCCAGTACCAGCCTGCAAATTGGGAACTTCGGGAGGTTGGATGGTCTCAGTCAGAGAAGGGGGGTTCGCAGCTGGAAGAGTAGGAAGCTGATAAGCAAATTGAGGAAGGTCTTCATCGAGTTTAGGGCTCATGGTACTGTGCTCATCAGAGGTTGGGGAAGTCAACAAAGAAGACAGACTAGATGTCCCCCACCCTGTTGAATTAAGATCGGCATTGTTGAAATTCCACCCGTGCATGTTGTATTCTGCAGTAGCACCTTGCATAGCATCAGCAAGTGAGAATCCCGAAGAAGCCGGTGAGTCGAATGATGTATTCTGCACGGTATCAAAATATCCCATAGCTGTAAGATCGGGTTGTAAAAATTGGGCATCAAATGGTTCGATTGAGCCGAGAGGTGCACTAGCTTGAGGTACCATGACACTGTGCAAACCCAGTGACCAATCAGGATATTGGGACTGTATCAGAAAATCATCAGGTGACATAGTGGGAGTGATGGCATGTAAAGACTCTTACCTGAGAGTAGAATGCAGGTTGATTGGGTCCTGTGAGCTGAAGTGATGCATCAGCGAAGCCAGCCGGTGCCAGCGCCACAGTGCCTGCCATTGATGCATCAGGCATCTTATAAAGGGCGGGGTTATCCCAGTTCATGGTATCAGTACCTTGTTCGTTCTCATCTCTGCTTTCATACTTTTCACCGCTTTCATCCTCTTCACTGCTGCCATCCTCTTCACCACTGCCATCATCTTCGAGTTCCTCACTCCTGTTGCCATCTCCAACATCCATGGTAGCTGGCAGCAAGGGGTCATGTTTCTTCGTGGCTGACTTACAACTATACGTTGCTCTTCAACTTTATCTTCTCATTTTGTTTGCTCAACAGTCAGCGGCATGTCACTAGGGATGTCGGGGAACAGAATATTGCGCTCTGGCCATGTTTTGAACCAATATTTGTGTATGGCGGTGAGGCGATCTCAACCTGGCTGGGCTGATATGAAATATCTAAAAATGCTCAACCAGTATAAGTGAGTCTTGGCTCTGCCTAGCTGCTATACTTGCAGAATGCAAGAACGTTCGACCCTAAAGGGGACTGCTACTGAACACAGAACCAGATGAAAGAAAGACCCTTGTAGTGCGATGGATGCGCGAAAGCACAAGAAGAAAAGCAAAGTGAGCGCGAAGCGCGAGAGAGCGCACTAAGGTAAGCGTGAGCGTGGGAACGTGAGCGCTAAGGCGCGCGTTGTGCGGAAAATACCAGATAAGGAAACAGATAAGGAAGCGGATGTGCAAAGCGAGTGCAAATGCAGAGCGAGTGTTATAATGAGTGGGGATAAAGGTCTAGTATAGGCAGATAACGATAACCATTGGAAACACAAAGTGCGCCCAAGTGGTGACTACCACTTTAAAGTAAAACCCAATAGCGAGGTAAGTACAGCAAAGGGGAGTAATAATGATGGAGTAGTAAGTCAGCAAACTTTATACTATGGAAATCGCATCGGAAGCGGAAGGGATGGGAGCAATAAGCGCTATGAATATGTAATGACATGTAATAGCACTGCAATGCTTGTTACAAACCACGAGGCAAGGGATATGACGTACCAATGAGGTGGATGGACATAGAGGGACATTCCTGGATGATAGGCGATGCAGGGCGCTTAAGCGCGAGAAAGCGCGCAAGGTGCGCGTGTGGGAATGCTGCGCGTTGTGCAGGAAAGTACCGCGCCTATGGCGCGTTTCGTGGGAAAGCTGCGCGTTACGTGTAAAACGACTAGAGACATGATAGAAGTCGAATATAGCTGATGGTGCGAGTCGTGCATTGAAGGCCAATTGTCATGAGTTGTGAAAGGTGTGAAATGTGCCCATATGTGCCTGCAGAAACGCGAGTCTCTACAGCGGGCCAGAAGCAGGCGTAGTCCTTGTCCCTGGCGCTTTGCTGTATGTACTCTGGCAGTTGTTCTTGGAGCCATGCATACTGCACTTTGGTAGTCCACTGGGCTGCTGGCATCATTGTGCGCAAATATGAAGGATTACAGGGAAATAATTCCTGGATGAAGTAGACATCCATCCTTATAACATTTGCCAATCAATATCAAGTGAATAAAAAAAATTGAGCTATTTTAGCATTGACTTACCACATGGTCAAATCAGTAGAGGGCGGTATGGACGGAAACAATGATACCAGCACCAATCTGGGTTTCAGAATGACTAGTGATCAGGTAATGAGGGACGGCAATACAATCTGAGTGTCATAATACTACATACTGGGAGGTGTTAGCTGTGCCTGCACTAAGATTGATGTCGACTTCATATTGCCTCCAGTGGATCTCAAGATGACATTGGTAGACTGATGGCTGTCGTTGCTGAGTGCACTGTTAGCCCATTGTTATAGTTCATGCAATCATGTAGACAAACCTATAGAGATAATGGAATGCGACTTGAACCAACGATAAGTGTTTGGACAGGGTGTCATGGCAGTGGTAAGTATACAATGTTGGATCAATTGACCAGAGACTCACCTAAACATGGAGAAATGAACACCAAAACTTTGTGAGTGTTCCAGGAAACTCAAGACTAGAAGAATATTTGAAACCAACGAGAAACAAGTATTGCACTGTGAAGAAGTGTTGCAACAAGATCATCAATCTGTAACAGTCATATCGAAATCTAGAGACTGACCTGAATGACAACAAGAAAGTAACCCAAGTCATTGGCAAGTGATCAGTTTCAACGTGTGATGTGCATGCGTGATAGCCTAGTTAACGTCAAGTTGATGTGCGTGCACAATTGCCTACCTAGTAGTAGTTAATGTCAAGTTAGCGAGTGGCAGTGTGATCAGTTTGCAGCAGTGAGACTCACATAGCGCTGGATCTGTTCAACTACTAGTTCTACACTCATAAAACTTACTCACTCGCACAATTGCTAGTGCCTGCAGTGTTGTAGTTGTTGAATCATTGATCTGATTGTGTAGTACTAATATTTCTACAATACAAGAGTGTATGTGATCAAAGGAGTGTGTGTGTTTCGTCCAAGTCTGTGTGAGTGAGTTTCAATTGAACAGAATCAGTGTCATACCATAGTGCCACATAATTTGATCTTGTACAAGGTAGAACCCCAACATACATGCTCTGAATAATTAGCTACAGCTATATCATTGATTTTGAGTGAGATGTGATTGGTGATCATTGGATATCAAGTAATTAGTAGTAAATCTCCCAAAGTCAATGCAACCATGACAGCTGCTTCAAGCCTTCAACTTGTTCTAAACTTGGTTACTACTACATCATGGGTCAACCTCGGCTGTACCACACATCAAAATCAAGGCTGCTCATTCTTACCACAAGAAATAATCACACCTGTGGTGAGCTGTACATTACTGATAGCTACTAGAACTCTACATTTGATTATCATTGGGCAGGAAGACCTCACAAGTGCCAAAGCTGCACTTGCAGACATTCAATTGGCGGATCCTCACGAAGACTTTTAGATGTCCCCTCAAGGATCTACTAGACTCATCTTAGCACTGAAGAACTCGCTCATACATGTCATGGTCAACCCTCAGGATATGCTGGAAGGTCATACATACACGTGGTGGGCTATTATACCGCAGATTACTTGTGATATCACCGTCTTGCAGTTATGATAATACATTCAATTGGCGGATCCTCACGAAGACTTTTAGATGTCCCCTCAAGGATCTAGCCTCATCTTAGCACCGGAGGACTTGCTCATACATGTCATGGTTGACCCTTGGGATATGCTGGAAGGTTATACATGCAGTGAGCTATTATACTTGTGATATCACCATCTCACAGTCATGATAATGATGCAATGTTAGTGATGCATCAATCATGTAATATTCAATGCTGACACCGGTAATTGTAAGCACCAAAACTTAATATCACACAAGCACTGAAACTCAATATCGCACACTAGACCCCATTGGCCTGAGAGTCGAGACCCTTATAATTTAATCTACCTGGAACCACATGTTGGCCACTGCCAATATAACTCATCAATGTTAACACTTGTGATTCAGGGTGAGTGATTCACCATATTGATGGAAGCGCTAGGTATCAAGCTAACCCCAAATTTCCCTCACTGCCAGTCTATCTCTCCATGTGTAATTCCCTTTGGATTGATGTCACTACAACACTGTACACGGTAGAGCCAGAGGAGTGTGTGATGGTATACGAGGGCAGTATCGAGTTTGATGTGGCCACATATGCTATGGCGGATGAATGCTTTCTTTATTCGCATGAAGGAATACTCTACAACATGCCTGCCAAGCGCAATCTAGAACCCCCTTTCTACTGTGTTACTGGTGGCCGCTACATCGGAGTTTTTCCGTCATATCTCTGGGGAGATTTCTGTCTCATCTACATTTTTATACTTAAACACCCACCTTAGGGAGGATATAAAAACTGAACTCAAAACCCCAGGCCATTGTTCTCCTACCTACTACATTGTTTGGTTGCTTTTCTCGGAGAACATGAAGTTCGTTGTGCCATCCGGCATAGGCTCGCAGCCAATAGATGACACACTAGTAAGTTTGATGCTGTGCCTATAGTAGCATTTGCTAACCATTGCTCGGTCTATAGTCAGGACCGATTATGGGAGAATGTATTCGGTTAGAAGACAATTGGAGTAAGGAAGAGATATGAGGTTTTTGATCTAGTTAGAAGACAAACAGAGTAAGGAAGAGATATGAGGTTTTTGGTGAGGCCCATGGCGTGCAGCCAGTATCTCAGGTATTCCACTTTAGCTGAGGAAAAGAGCAATCACGTCTCAAATTTCTGGAGTATAGAGATAAGATTTAGTGTACTGCATGATGTAGCAATTTCAACTACATACCCAAGAAGAGTTTGGCTTCAGTGACACCCTCTGGCAAGTCACATGACATGTCGGGCTTGGAGAGCTGCGTATGGGACTGGGTGATTTCATTCTGTTTGCTTGACACTATCTAAGAATGTCTATGGGTCCTGGACCATCATCTGAGGCAACGTCTGCTGCATTGAAGAACTTGCAGAAACGGAAGAAGAAACCAAAGCTCAATTTCTACCACACAGTGCTGGTAGTCCGTTATCGCCAGCATACCCAATACCAAGTTAATAATGATGGCTCTGTCAGCTATACTCTGAAGCGTCTTCTCCCTCCTAAGAATGCTAAAGCAACCATCCTGGGCCATTCTCAAACTCGTGCGTAATGAACTCTGTGCAACTCAGACACCTTTTTTTCAATTCCAGAGCCACTTGATGATCTCCCACTCGAAGTGTCATTGGACATTTTAGGCCAACAAAGGAGAAATGAGCAGCGGGTGTATGTACACTACAATGTTCCATGTCATTTGACTTCCCCCTCATGGTGTTTAATCAGGACCATCCTTTGTTGATGTGGTTGAATCACCGAGTGTTATTCCTTCGAGAAATGATCCATCTTGAGGGATGATGTAACATAGTCAGTGTGCTGTCGTGCTTAGAGTCTGATGGTCCCAATCCAGAATACAAGTGTTGGGACTGCTTGGGGTCAGAGTTTTATTGCTCAACTTGCATCTTGTCAGTCCATGTGCACCATCCGCTTCACCGATTGCAGGTACGTCTTCACAATTCATTGTGATAGTAGACTTGATCTCGAACACAGAAATGGAACGGTCAATACTTTGAGCAGATTTCTCTGAAAACCCTGGGCCTTCGCATTCAGCTTGGTCACACCACTGGCCAGCAATGTGCCAATCCTCACCGTGCTTTCAACGATGATTTTATCATTATTGACACCTTCAGTATACATGAAGTGTCACTCAACTTCTGCAGTTGCACAATAGCTGAAAGCCATATGCAACAGCTACTTCGAATGTCATTATTTCCTTCAATAATCTCAGATCCGAAAACTGCAGTGACATTCCACATTCTGGAGCAGTATCACCTGCTCTCGTTTGAGTCAAAGGTATCTGCCTATGAATTTTGCCATGCACTCAACCAGATGTCTGATAACACCGGTCTATGTCTAGTTAAGGTAGGAACAAAATTTAAAGTATCTCTATGGTCAGTAAAGCTTCTCTACAGGATTGATACGAGTCATTTCTGTAGATTATTCATGAATGACGTCACCTGAAGATGCTCAAACGTTCAGGGTGAGGTCACAATTCCAAGGGTGTAGGTGTGACAGCTCAAGGTGAATGTGCTGTATTGTGCCCAGCTTGTCCACATCCAGTGTAGAGACTCGCATTTCTGTGGGCTCATATGGGCTCATTTTATGAATTCTGACAACTGGCCTTCATAGCACAACTCACACCATCATCCACTATGACTTCCACCATGGAGTGCACCACTTCCTGCGAAATGCGCCATAGGTGCGACACTTTCCCGCACAACACGCAGTATTCCCGCACGCGCGCCTTGCGCGCTTTCTTGCGCTTAAGCGCCCTGCATCGCGCATCATCCAGGAGCATCCATCCATCGTCCAACCAGTCTCTTGGTATGTCCCTTTTCGTTATCTGACTATATTTGGCATATTACACTTCCTATTTCGTCATGGACCCTTACTTTACATCACTTTACCTCACTTACATACTTAGAGCGCTCCCTATTCGGCTCCAAGCCCTGGGAGAGCACTTAGGTAGAACTTACATACTTTCATGTTTGTTTTACACCCAACTATTCCACCTTAGCTTCCTACCACTCAGTATCTATCACCAGTTAGTTCCATGCAATGCATGTGTCCATCATTGTCTTGAGGCCCTAGCATCAGTCTATAGCTAGTGGCACTATCAGTATCCGTCTAGATCCGCGCTTTTCCTCTTATCAGTCTCAGTATATATCTTTTACACCTGTGCACCGCTTGCACTACCTTCCCGCGCTCCGTGCACTTTCGCACTTCGCATTCCCGCGCGCGCTTTCTCACGCTTTCACTGCCATTCACCAGGGTTGTTCAGCATCATTCTGTGGATCCTTGCTTTCTTTGCTTCCCCTTTAGGGTCGAACGTTCTTGCATTCTGCGAGTATAGCAGCTAGGCAGAGCTGAGACTCACTTATACTGGCTGAGCACTTTTCTTATATGTGCCTGCCAGGTTGTGATACCCGCACCGGGGAAGAACATTCCAGCTAATTGGAAAGATGCACCTTGATGGTGAGTTTTAAAATGAGCTTGAGTGGTGTTATTGCTGATATAGATACTATCAGTTGGCTCTATGGATTTTTCCTTGCTATTGATGCAAACTTCCAGTTAAAACGCAAGGCTGTCTCAAATGACAGCATGGACCTGAGTCTGAGTTCTGGCTGGGCCTATTTCATGGAGGATGAAGCTTATAAGGGCTTCTTGGACAGTAATTCAGATAACACTCAAGAGGTTGTTTGGTTTAATACTCCTTTTCATATATTAACGGAGTTCTGCAGAAATCAACATGCTCAAGTCACAATGCAGTGAACATGACAGACACAAAATCTAACCGCAGACTTGCTGCTACAGGTTTAGGTACTGTCGACTGTGCCTGCACAACATGAAACGGCCCAATGCTGTTGGAGATCTCCAAAAGGGTGAAAGGTAAATTGTGTATTGTGTTTTGCATTCAGATGTTGGTGATCTAACAGTCTGTAGATATATCAACATGGATTATTTATTCTTCTCGACGCTGCATCATACTGTGGTCGACACTCTGAACGTATCTTATGATATTGCATGCCAGTGGCACAAAAAATTATGGCACCATATGAGCACATTTCCAGTCTCAATGCACCTCCTGCCTGCTTTCAAGACTATCTCTTTTTTCATCCCCAAGTTCCACCTTCCTGCTCACATCGAGGAGTGTCAAACTTCATTCTCGTTCAATTTCAAGAGTGGGGTTGGTCGGACTGATGGAGAGGCACCCGAGCATGGCTGGGCCAATATCAACCCTGTTGCTTCAAGAACTAAAGAGATGGGTCCTGGTGCACAGTGAGACACCCTTGATGACTACTTCGGAAACTCAAATTGGAAAAAGGTAGTTGCACTTGGTTCGTACATTGTCATTGAAATCATACTTTATTGCAACTGGATACCTTAACCTCAACTACTCTGACGCTCGATTCTGCAGATGCACCATGTACTTTCTCTGCACCCACTCATTGTCTTGATAATATGTCGGCCCCTTACTATGCCGAGGCAGTTTTGGTCATGAAGAGTGTATTTGGGCTGACCTCCTTTATTATCAGGTCATACTATGCTTCGCAAGATGAAAGATGCATTACCAAGCGACAGAATCATCACAAAGCCCTTGATGATGTGAAAGAGAAATAGTGACTAGGCTATTAGAAACTTAGCAACTAAGGTGACTCCGACACCAGCAAAGGTCCGGGGAAGGGAAGTAAAGTACTATATGTGTGACGGGTCATTTTATCATACTGCATAAAGGTTTGGAATTGTGTAGGCAAGAATAGTAGCGACACTAGCGAGGGCATGATGTAGCGACAGGTAATAAAACATGCAGTGCTGCGGAACACGAGGATACAGGTAATAAGACCTGCAACTGATCAGTAGCAACATTTAAGGACAAATAACGCACCAGTGGAGGTAGGTGGACATAGGCAGGACATGGGAGGACGGAATACCTAGGCGTCAGACCAGGTTGCGCGCTATGGGAGAAAAGTGGTTCCAAAGCAGATAGCTTGGGAGTTGATAGCGCTGGTGACTAGCACTTTACTCTTTTCCTCTAGGCAAGGCAAAATATGCCTATGACACTCATACACACCCAGTGCTGGTATGATTGTTACATCTGCGGGAGACTCAAATACCGACTGTCCCCAGTCAGTCTCATGTTGCGACTTGGACTTAGCAAAAATTCCTCCATCGATAAGGGCACGTGATCAATGGCAACCCGATATGGAAGTGATGATTGGATAGTGGAAATTTGATAGAAGCGGTGGACACAATTGATGAGCTGGAACAGTGGGTGGAAGTGTAAACATGTGGTGGTCGCGATAGGTGGACTAGAACAATGCAAGGAATAATGGGCACGGGGTGGTCGCGAAGAGTGGGTCAGAGTCAATGGAAGTGTGGACTTGATCACATATCCTTATAAAAACCCTCCGACCTTTCCTTCATCCATTCCTTCATCACATACTCCCAAAAATGTCTTCCTTCACTTTCTCTGAAATTGTCAACCCCAACGTCAACAAGCTTCAACATGCTTTCGCCGACCTCCGACTCGAGTTAGCTCATCTGGTCGAGGCTATCCCTGAGGACTGCCCCAAATTGATCCAGCAAAAGGAGGAGTGGGTGCGTGACTGGACTAAGCTTGTGGTAAGTCCCTAGTCCCGACTTAGCTCTATTTTGATTTCTAACCCTCCTTATAGCAGGAACTCAGCAACAATGCGCTCAACTGCAAAGCCTACAACATGAACCTTCCGCTCTTGTCAGCCAAGGTTGCACTGGGTCGCAAGGCAGAAGAGGCCCAGAAACTCTTTTCCGGCCAGATCCATGCTTACAATGTTGAGGTCCAGCGACTTGTGGATGAGCAGGCGGCGCTCGAACAAGCGAAGAGTAAGGAGCAGGAGATAGAGCTGGAGAAGGAGGAGGTGCGCAACATGGATGAAGCTATGGATGAGGTTGTGTCTTCTTAGATAGATGATCTATAGATAAACACCTATAAAAACAAATATCTCCACGGTCAGTGATTCAGACAAATACCAATGACTGATAATGTGGTTGTACGTGGGTGGCTGTTCAGCAGTATCTAAGCTACATTCAGGAGAAGGTCTTCTGTGAGATCAGTAGTGAGCAGTCAATCCAACAGTGTGCAGACTACAGAGATAACAACAGCGATAACAGCAGCAACAGCAGCAGCAGCAAGAAAAAGAAGAAGAACAAGAACAAGAAGAACAAGAAGAACAAGAAGAACAAGAAGAAGAACAACAACAAGAACAACAACAACAACAAGAACAACAACAACAACAACAACAACAACAACAACAACAACAACAACAACAACAACAACAACAACAACAACAACAACAACAACAACAACAACAACAACAACAACAACAACAACAACAACAACAACAACAACAACAACAACAACAACAACAACAACAACAACAACAACAACAAAGGAAACAAGGAATCTTGTCTCGTAACAGTAACCAGCAAGCTGTATGAAGCAATAAAGGTCACTCTCAAAGCACAAGCAGGTAGGATCAAAGGTCAAGACTAGTCAATGCTTCAAAGCACTTTATATACTATTGAACCTGCTGTCAAGGAACTCACGATGAGTATTAAACAGAATCAGAACGGACGTCCTTGGTGTTCGACACCAAGTCCCCTTTCAATAGCTAAAGTCTTGTGGCAAAGAAAACCCTGGCTCAGTATCACTACTCAGATGTGTAAGGTCAAGCTCCCAATTATCGACTTCCAAAGTCTCCCCACTAAGATGCACTGAACCTTAGATGGATGAAGGAGACAACACAAAATTCTGGAATATGTGTGCTACAAAAACAAAGAAACTCGGAGAAACAAACAAACAATGTAGAAAACCAACCGATGAAACAGAACCAGGTCTGCTGGTCGTGGAGCACAGTGTACTCACACTATTACTAAAGTCTCACAGAAGGGTACCCTATCAATTTTCAACAGCTCTCACTGTTTCTGATCTTGATCACACCTTACTGATAAAAACTGAAACTGCTTCTTGTTTCATGCAAAAATGCGAGTCCTTATATACACAAAATCAGTGGCTGTGCTACTATTTTCCCACGTTTTAGGTGGGGGTTACTTTAGCCAGGCAAAGTGAAACAGTGTAAGTATGAGTCAGCTTATGAGGGGTCAGATGATGTCATATACCATATATCCGGTTACAGATCCGATGATCCGGATCTCAGATCCGATCCAGATCTGATGAACATATCCGTCGTCCGGTCCACAGATCCGCTTTGATTCTTATTTCATTTCCTGTTCATATAACTCTAACTATCGTTCATCTCCTTTCGGTATTCCTGTACACCGGTATACTGGTTATCCTTTACTTCCGCTTTGCTTACTGATCCGCTA